TGTCGAAGTTGATAAATTAACGCGAGATGCTCAACATGGTCTTCGTCGTACAATGGAAAAATATGTTAGTTCATGTCGACTTATACTGTGTTGTAATTCAACATCACGTGTGATACCTGCTATTCGAAGTCGATGTTTAGCTATAAGAGTTGCTGCACCAACGATTAACGAAGTTTGTTGATTTATTTATTTATTTATGTATTTATGCATCATTTGGAAATTTTCATATTTAGATCAGTAAAGTTTTAAAAAAAGTAGCACATTTAGAAGAAATTCAATTACTAAATGATGTAGCAAATCGTATTGGAGAAAAAAGTCAAAGAAATCTTCGAAGAGCTTTACTTATGCTTCAAACATGTGCTACACAAAAGTAAAGATTTTGATTCAAAATATGTCAAAACTAAATGTTTTTCTATTAGAGTTCCATTAACAAAAGACCAACAAATCATTGAACCAGATTGGGAAATATATTTACGTGACACAGCACGCATGATTGGTGAACAACAAACGCCTCAACGGTAAATATTCTTTTTCTTCGTCATAATTGAAAATCTACGTTTTCTTTTTGTAGGATTTTAGAAGCACGTGAACGTCTTTATGAATTAATTGCACATTGTATTCCAGCAGAAATTATTTTTAAAGTATAAAATTTTCTTTCTTAGAAATTTGTATCAAGATTAAAATTTATACTTAGGGTTTACTTGAAGAATTATTAGCTAATTGTGATGATATATTAAAAATTCAAATAACACACATAGCTGCTGAATATGAACATCGTCTTCGACAAGGTTCAAAAGAAATCTTTCATCTTGAAGCATTTATAGCAAAATTTATGTGTATTTATAAGCAACATATGCAAAAAATGGCTGCTGGTCTTGATGAAGATTTTGATTAATTAAATATGTATATTGACAATTATAATGAAATTTCTTGTTTTATATATGTCAGATTGATGAATAAAAATTCAAATGTGTATGTGTGCAATGAAAGAAATATTTCATAGCTTTCATTTATAGTCTGAGCGTGTAGGAATATTAAATGTATGCAGAGTACATCATACAATTTTATGAATTCGATATTCATCTTATCATTGTCAATACATTTCAAGTACATTGTTTCTTTATCATGTAAACGGATATGTTATTATCCTATTTCAGTCCTTTAGTGATTTGCAGTATGATTAATTGATTGATTTATGAAATTGAGTTTTCAGAGATTTGATAATAGTTAATCGTATTTGATCTGCTACTTTAGCTTCGTACTCTGACTGAACGAATGACGAAGATTTTGGTGTCTTTCTTGATAGAGAATTCTTTAGCTAATAATAATACACTACCGCAGACAAAATTAACGCAACACGTATTTTTGATAGATATTTTCATTAACGGTCGACCACGAAAAATATAAGTTTTTTAGAAATTTTTTTCGTCTATAGAACTTTGTAGAGCTCGTTTCGTTGATCATTTTGGTAAAAAAAAATTCAAATTTACTCAATAATTAATGGCATTAGAGTCAAAATACTCAAAACTTAGGATTGTTCGTGACCACTGCTGAGTAGTAGATGATATTTTTGAGTATTCTGAGCCAAGGTTCGTTATTTATCGAGTAAATTTGAATATTTTTTTTTTATCAAAATGATCAGCGAAATGAGCTCTACAAAGTTCTATAGACGAAAAAAATTTCTGAAAAACTTTCATTTTTCGTGGTCGACCGTTAATGAAAATATCTATCAAAAATACGTGTTGCGTTAATTTTGTCCGTGGTAGACACATATAAATTTCAACTGTTTGACATTGATTCTATCATCGACAGTTTCCATTTCAGATATTTGGTATCTTTGTATGTATTTGTAATTTTACTGGCATTTTTAGTTCATATTTTATGTTTAACTGATAATCGACATATTGTTGCTATGACTAACAGTTTGACAAAATAAAGACGAGAATATTTTGATATTCTTATATTTTAAGTGGTAGATATGGTGAAAGCTTCTATACTTATTGTTGTTCTTATCAAATATTGAAGTATTTCATGAAGATAGAATCATCATCAAAATATATGTCGAAAAGCAAAAATATTAAAGTGTAAAATTGTCGAAATATATGTTCTTATGATAGTTCTGATATTTAAAATTACAAGCGCCGAGAATAGAAACACTAACAGTCGATTATTCAAATCACAATGACACTATCAGTCAATTGGTAAGGCATAGTTAGGGTGTGAGTGTAGGCGTGGATGCATGTGTTCTATTCATTCTCATCTATTCACACTCACACCCACATTCACTTTTCTTGTCATAAAAAAAATTTTTAACTATGAATACACGTTCTGTAAATGAAATAAAGATATTGAATTCTTTATTATCAACTAAATAATAATTTATATTATTTCGACGTTTGAATAAGTCGGCACTTTCATCTATCAACATCTTGTTTTTACGACATTTCTGGATACGACATTTTTTACTTTTTGACATTTTAATTATTCGACATTTTTCTTGTATGGTTTTTAACAGTTGTGTTTGCAACGAAAGTAGAATTTACCATGTCGGTTTCATCATACATCGATTAGTATTGAAGGAGATTATAATCTTTTATCAATTTTTACTTTCACTGAGAAGTTCTTCGTTTTTGTTTTGAAAATTTATATAATGTATATAACAGATATGTTACGAAAATTCAATAGCAAGTTTTTCGGTTTGCCCATTGATACTGATAATCAAAATAATGTTAATACTATTATCGGAATTTTAAAAAAAGACCATCAGGAAAAATGCTTATAACTTTTGAACGAAGATAGCTAGAGCCCTGTGGTTTTCACCATTCGAAAGAGGAAACAAGGGAACGCCTTTTTCTCCAATATTGTATACGACGAAATCATTTAAAAATCAGTCATTTCTACAAAACATCGAAAAATGTATGAAAACGATCTGTCATTCGGATGAAATTTTGGTTCTGACATCTGATCTAGATAGAGGAACTTCAGATGTATAGTTCAAGATATAATTCGAATGATTATTTTTCCATCTCCTAATGTTGAACAAATAAACTTGTCTATTTAATCGTACGAAAATTATGGAATTCTTTTAATTTTTAAGCATATTTTCTTACTTTCCATCAAATTTTCAACTGAATGACAGACCGTTTTTTTATACATTTTTTCGATGTTTTGTAGAAATGACTGATTTTTAAATGATTCCGTCGCATGCAATATTGAAGAAAAAGGCGTTCCCTTGTCTCCTCTTTTGAATGGTAAAAATCACAGGGCTCTAGCTATCTTCGTTCAAAAGTTATAAGCATTTTTCCAGATGGTCTTTTTTTTAAATTCCGATAATAATTCTAATATTGTTCTAACAGATACTTTTTTTCAATGTAAGAATTTGATACATCAAACAATAATCTTATTATATTTTCTTCTGCTTTCATTGATGTGTCTATTCAAGCTAATATTTTCATCTCACCAATGATTACTTCATTACATACGGAAATTTTGTTTCGTAAGGAAACCTATTTAGTTACATTTTTTATATGTACTCATGACCTTTATGTTGATTACAAGAACATTGGATGTGTATTAATGCGTCGTCATATTTTCGAACCTATGGACAAATTATTTGCAGAAAGAATATTAGATGATTTAATATTTCGAATGCCTCGTATTCTTATTTAATTTTGTGACGGATTTTAAATAGTGTTGAATTTGAAAATATACATCAAGGAGTTATTTGTCAAAATATGCAATCCTGCAATGAATCTTGAATATCAACAAGTAATAAGGGTATTAATTGATTCAAATATTCATGATACATCTGATGAGATTACTGTAGTTGAACAATCATTCATAGAACATACGAAAATACCTCTTACGGAATAAAGACAAAAATTTTCAAATGAAATCATTTTTGAAAAAATGGTTTGACTGATTGCTCATATTTTGGCCATGAATAGTTTTTTCATTTTAATCAAAAAAAAACATGAATCTGTTGCTGTTGAACTTTGCAATAAGATGATAAGAATAGTATGTTTTGGACACGTGCATGATTTATTGTATTTTTTATTTATAGATGCATCGATCTAGTCAAAAAAACACCACTAATTGTAATTTACTGGAAACATTTACATGTTGTGTCATGATGAGACAATGATCATGTCTTTTTTTTTCTTTATGTAATTCAACAGTGCAGAGGGAACAGATAAATTCGTCGATTCATTGAAGAACAATGCATAGAACTCGATCGAATATGAATAAAAATTCTTATTGTATAGTTCATTGGATTTTTCTTCCGATAAATAAATACTAAATGATACGAAATAATTTCATTGATTTTGAATATGAATGAGTGAACGATTTTATTTTGCAAATTAGACAGCATAAGAAATAAAGCATTGTTCAGCGTAATCGAAAAAAGTTCTTGAATTCAATTACTTAGAGAAGATGACACTCAATTTGAGTTCAAATCAAATTAAGTACTCCCATTAATATATTATTTTTTGCTGTATACATGACCATTTTGGACTGCTAAAAGTAGATTTTATTTGAATAGATTTTTGAAAAGGTGTACATGAATGATTAAGAAGTAGAAAATTTCGTCAGAAAAATATTCTTTTCTCAATTAACTTTCTAATGATAGAAGAAATTTATAAATGTTCTTCGTTGTGAATAGAAACAAAGTGGAATCAAGGCTGAATCAATGTCACTACCGCTGAGCAAATCATTTATTCAAAAATGATACGCTATAAACGTTAATTCAGTGCATATTTTTTATCAATAATTTTATATGATAATTTAAATATTTATTTAAAAAAAAACATCAAATGAATGACATAAAACAGCCTCACGCCATTATTTTTCTAAAGGCTATGAGAAAATCGAACATCTGTACAGGATAAAATTGTACTTCTGTATATAAAAACAAAATCATAGACAAGTTTTCTGCATTTCTCTTTTATCTTTTATAAGTAGATATCGAAAGATATTTAGAGAAGTTAATTAAAAAAAAAATGTTACTCTCCTATTTAAGTGTCCTCTTAACTTGTGGTAAGATTATTCTTCAAGTGTTCTTTGTTTTAGTACGGAATTTTTTTGAGTAGGTATTGCCTTAGGACAATATGTACGAGAACATACTCCAGCTGAACGAATGAGAATTTTGGTAAAGATATCAAATATTTGTTTCTTGTAATTTTTGATTCTAACCATTAGGGTCCCTTGGCTTTTGCTGATGCTCGTGTGATATTTAACTGTCCAGCATTAACTCCATCACCAACAGTTCCAACATCAGGTTTCTATATTTGTTTTTTCATTAATTAATATATGCTTTTTGTTCTTATATATTTTAAGTTCATGCTTTACGACCAGCTGATATCAAACATATAGCATCGATGGGCGATAGTTTAACAGTATAAAAATATATAGAATATTTCAATTCTTTTATTGATATTCTAGGCTGCAAATGGTGCTAAAGCATTCTCAGTAGTTGCTGTTATAGTCGAATATCGAGGTGTTTCATGGAGGTAAAGAAAATATTCTTATTATTTCTCTAGTTCTTATTTTATATTTTAGTATTGGTGGAGATGAAAATCTTCAAAAAGTTGTCACCTTAGCCAGTATGTTTATTTGATATTATTGCATTAATAAAACAAATCTTTTTTCATTTGATTTTTAGATATTTTACGACAATTCAATAGTAAATTAGATGGTTATTCACTTGGAACTGGTAATCGAAATTCTTCAAAAGCTGGTTTTAATGTTGCCAAAGCTGGTGCTATTTCTTCGTAAATGAAATCTATTGTTCTCAAAAAACAAAAATTTACCTATATTTATAATATGTTATTTTTTGTAGTGATATGCCTAGTCAAGCAAATCTTCTTGTTGAACGAATGACTCAAGCATTAGGTGCTGCAAAATTTGCTGCAGATTGGAAATTGGTTACATTCTTTATTGGTGGTAATGATCTTTGTAGTTATTGCAAAGCTACCGTATGTTGTTTTTTTTACTTTCTATATATCTATGAAATTAATCATTTTTTTTACTTCATTAGGATCGATTCAGTCCAGCTAACTATGCAAATAATATTAAACGTGCATTAGATATTCTTAAAGCTCGAATGCCTCGTACACTAGTTAATTTTGTAACTGTTCTTAATGTTGCTGAACTTAAAGATTTACATGAAGGTGTTCGATGTCAAACATTACAAAAGTAAGATAAAATAGAAGAACATGTGTTCGAGTAGTTTTTGAATATAATAGTTTCATGTGTGATTGTGGTGTTGATAAGAAAACACGTGACCAAATACGTGTGGCGAATATTGATTATCAACGAGAAACAACTGCATTAATTGATTCGGGTATTTATGATACATCTGATGATTTTACTGTTGTTCGACAACCATTTATGGAACATATGAAAGTACCTGTTACGGTATATTTAAAAAAATCATTTTCAAAGGGAAACATTTTTTGAATAAACTTTATTTTTATTATAGAGCGGTGGTTCGGCTGATTTCTCATATTTTTCACCTGATTGTTTCCATTTCAGTCAAAAAGGTCATGAAGCTGCTGCTGTTGAACTTTGGAATAATATGGTTAGAATACTCTGTTAAAACCTTGTGAATGATATATTATATGTTTTATGTATAGATGCAAAAAGTTGGTCAAAAAACAACAACCTGGTATTTAGCAGATACACTTCAATGTCCTTCCACAGTAAGATGACGATCAGTTTTTCGATTTTTGATTAATAATAACTACTTTTATTATTTTTTAAGGGAAATGGATACATCTATACGTCGAAGAACAGTGCTTGATTTTAAAAATAATCTTTCATTGATCATTTGATTTTTGTTTTCTCTATCAATAAATAAATGTGAACGATCGGGCAATATGTTGACCCTTTGAATATTTGCTTGATATTAATGATATAAATGGTCGAGGTCATCTGGTTTATTTGAATGAACAGAGAGAAAAAAGACATAGAATAGAGATGATGGTTTAAGAAAAAAATATATAGATTGACTCATTCATTCACTCATTCATTCATTCGAAAAGAGCCTATTGAGCAAAATGCGATATTATCTTATTTTTATCGTGTTTAGCACTTGGTATGTATCCATTAATGCACAATCAGAAGATAATTCAACAACAAACAGTCTTGTTCAAAATGTTACTGAAGAAGAAACAACCGTTGCTTCAACTACTGAATATACAAACACCGATAAAATTACCGAGCATGCAACCTCAGACCAAACTACTGAACAAATGAACTTCGACTCAACTACGAAACATACAACGTTCGACCAAACTACTCAACAAGAAAGCTTCGAACAAACTACTCAGTATACAACCTTAGAACAAACTACTGAACAAAAAAGCTTTGACCAAACTACGCAACAAATAAGTCTTGATCAAACTACCGTTATGTTGGATATAAATTCAACAACAAGTGTTTCAACTAAAGGTTTTGTAGCTTCATATGTTGAACCACCACTACATCCACTTGGCTATTGTATTCGTTCACGTTTACGCTGTTCTAAAATTCGTCGTTGTTGCAAAGGACCCTGCGGTGTTATTAAGATGAAGTGTCCCTAATTTAAAGATGCAATAATAAAGACAAATTTCATTTTTTTGTTTTCTTTTTTTTATTTGATAGCATTTCTTCATTAATATTCTTTACATGTAGTTTTCGTTTATCTAATAAATTTCAAATAGTCCGGCTCATTCTATCTCTGATAAAAGCTTTTAAGCAGTAAGATAAAGTGTAGAAATTAGTGGTAATTTATTCAGTCTGTGATTTTCTATCGTGCTCTTGCTTCACTATTTTTTTAATATTGTGATTATCTTTTAAATTAAGAAAAAAAATACAACTTGGCAAAGTAAAAAGATCCTGACTTCATTCGTGATCAATTTTGCTTTATTTAAGCATAAACATAGAATGTAATTTGTCTATTCGAAATCAACTGACTAAGGTTATAAAGATAATTAAAGGTACGTTGTACTCCTAAAAGAACTTACTGTATTACTAATTTGTAAATAAGATATCTGAAACATATCAATATTTTCATACAGTCAAAGTCAAAAATCTCGCGCCACTTTTTTTTTTACTCGAACCTTATATTCAAACTGCACACCATCAACTCGAATATGATTATACGAATTATCACAGAGATTAAGTAATTGGTATATATGTTAAATACAAAAAATGCTTGAGCATAAAATATCACGAGTGAATAGAAACTTTAGTGCTAACAAAAAAGATGACATGGTACGGCTGTCGTAAGTGTATATGGAATGACGATGTGTTAATTAAACTGAACAATATTTGCGTACACATGTTGTTTATGTATAATACCACCATGATTAAGATAGTGTTTAATCCTTTCTTGTTCCATTACATCTGCTAATCTGTAACGTTATATATTGTGAAACACTTTTTTTTAAGTCTTTGATATATCGTGAAATATTGCTTTGGTTATCACAAACATCATAGATTAAAAATGAAGCCCATTACAACTAGTTCATTGAAATCTCGATTTCTTTTTACGACTTTGACCAAAAAAAATATAAAAATAACATGCTTGCACCACTTTCTAGAGTATACTACTGATATTGATTCGATGGTTCATCAGGCTTAGTCTGTATGATGAAAGTATTAAGACTTGCAACAACCATATCAAATTGTGTTTTTTTTCATGTTCTTTCTTCTGTTAATAACAAAAGTTTCTATTTATTCATCGTATTATATATTCAAGGATTTCTTGCATTAAATACGTATATATTTAGTACTTAATCACTGCAATACAGGTATAGAATCATATTGAGTTGATGATCTGTAATTTTCATACACGACTTGAAAAAGAAGTAGTACTGGATTAGTATAACATCGACCGTTTTCTATGATGATATTACTAATCTAAAAAAAAGATATTTCAGTCATTTGAACGATATCAAAAATATAACTATATGTAAGTAAGACGATTCATAAAGACAAAATAAATAATTATACTATCTTTCAAAAATTAGGTTTCATACATGGTCAACAATGTTGAATTCATGGTTAACTATTTTCACTATAAAGTTCTTTTAACAAGGCATAAATATACAAAAACAATTAAAGTCTGCCACATTTATCTACTTCATTCATGGGAAAAAAATACATCTGGATTCACAAAAGAAAATATCGTCCGATTCACAATATAATCTTTTATCCTCAAAGTTAAAAAAGAATCATATGTTCTGTATGTAATGCTTATTGGTTCAATAGTAATGTTTTGCTTATTATTTTTAAGAAAATATATCTGATATTAAACAAATACAGATGAATCTAGGCATTTTTCAACAACTAAGTATTCATATGAATAGGAGTCCAAGAAGAAAAAAAATATGCTTGAATCACTACTTGATATAAATTAAGTTCTACAAAATAATTTAAATTTGTCTTGTAGTACTAATTCAAAATTTATATTCTTTTCTTTTATGTCAATCTAAAGCCATTGAAGATTTTTTTCAAGATATTGAAAAAAAAAACTTGAAAATGCATTCTATAAACACAACCAGTTGTTTTCATTAGTTATGATTTATATGTTTATGTAAAATTAGTAATGTTAGTATTATAAATATTAATTTGCAGTTTAACATAAATCAGAAGCCTACATCATCAAAGTATTTCGACATTCCAATTCTTCTAGGAATGCGTTACAATAGCAACATTTTGTAGTCTTTTTTTGGGGGAACAAATCAAACTTATTGGATCTTTGAAGACTAGCGCCATCTATGGTTAATATATTCTATTCCTGTATTTTGCTACCAGTATTGTATAAACAAAGAACAATATTGATTTATTTTATTGGTACACAAAATATTTTTTTTTGAAAGAATATGGCAACTCGAACATCAACTCGATCAACAAAAGCCGTTAAATTTGTCGATTCAGCTGAATCAGATGATGATGAAGATTTAGATAAACCTTCTTCACTTCCAATAACTACTGAAGGTAAAAAACCTCGAGGTCGACCACCGAAATCTCGTCGAAGTCAAACTATTGATGATGAAGAATGGGATGCAAGAAACGAACAAGTCGAAGATGATGAGGACGATGATGATGATAATAATAATCCAAATGAAAATGGACGAGATGTTACAAAAAAAATGCATGCTAATAGAACGATCGATTCAGTTTATGATTTTGGGTAGAGAAAAAAAAAACATATATCAATTCTTCTTTAGACAAAAAAGAAAGTTTGATTTTTTTTTTATTAAAGTGACACGCCAAGAAAATGGCCGAAAACAACACCACAAAGAAATAGTACTGTATCGAAAACAAGTGTTAGTGATAGTGGAAAATCTATGGAAAAATTAATGTGTTCGTATTGGTAAGATAATTTCAACGAAACAAAAACCAGTTGTTTAATTAATAGAGATTATGTTTAGTAATTATACAACAACGAAAAAATATCTTCTTCAAAGGCATTTAAAATCTCATTCAACTGAACGACCACATAAATGTATAATTTTTGAAAAGAAATCAATAATGAAAGGTTTTGTTTTTGTTCTTTTTTTAAAAGGTGCATATTGTGATCGATCATTTAAAACAACTATTCAATTAACTAATCATGTTAATACACATCTTGGTGTGAAACCATTTCAAGTAAAATTTTCTTTAAAAAAAAAGCTTTTAATAAAATAAATGTTATGTTTTGTTTTGTTTTTATTAGTGCAAATTTTGTTCGTTTTCATTTACAACAAGTGGAGAATTAATTCGCCATGTTCGATATAAGTAAGATTATCAATAAAAAAATGATTAAATTCTTTTGTTTAAAAGAAAAATTATTGTTTCTTTTGTCTTAGACATACACTTGAAAAACCACATCGATGTGATGAATGTGGTTATGCAACAGTTGAATTAAGTAAATTACGACGACATATTCGTACACATACTGGAGTATGATTAAAAATTTCTTATTATTTTATTCTATTTATTGCTTAATGTAGGAAAAACCTTATGCGTGTCCGCATTGCTCATATTGTAGTCCGGACACATTTAAACTTAAACGACATCTACGTGTACATACAGGTAAGAGGAAAAAATGATTAATTTTTTTAATTAATTGAAAATTGCTTTTTTTTCTTCAAGGTGAAAGACCATATCAATGTACAATTTGCAATTTTAGGTTTACTCAAAGCAATAGGTAAGTTTATCAGTAATTAGTCTAAATATTCGAGTTTAAATGGAAATTATTGATTACTAGTGATAATGGGTTCAGTGAATTTTATGAGATATGTCAATAAAATTTTTTATAAAAGAAGAATGATTTTAATTCAGAAATAATTATTTTTATCGGTTCATTTATCTTTATTGATAATTATCATAGGTAAATTTTTCTTACGATTCTATAGATGATGAATCAGTCTTCTCGTAAGGATTTTATATGTAAAAAAGAAGAAGGACGAATATGACTACCTTGTGTAGTAAGACGCTGCCTAACGGTAGATTCAATAACTCAATATCTTTCTTACAACTAAAAATAGTTGCAGTTCTGAACAGAAGGCTAGACTTACAGAGAATTCTTACACTCAATCACTTGAATTCTCCATATACACTAATTAACTATATACTAGCTACAGGGCAAGTCTATGTTACAATATCATCAGCATGTTTTTGAATAGGTGATCCGAGGCAAACAGCCGTTAGTAACTTGCCAAAGACCATTTCATGGCTGGTAGCACCAAAATTTGAATACAATACTTTGAGGATACATATCGAACAATGTAGTCATTCAGCAATGGCGGCTCTTTATGTGTATATATGAATATTTGAAACTTAACTTTTGTTGCAATGATCGTAAAAGTGAACTCTTCTGCGAGAAATCTTGAATCATGTTAATAAAATGCAACAATGAGTACAGATGATTTCACTATATGACTCAAGATTTTTCATCATCTATAGAGCGTCAAAAATTTTGCAATTATATAAAATTATTTTTTATTAGTCAGAGAAAGAAAATAAAAGCGAAATCAAACTTATCAGTATCATATTTTAGCAGTTTCACCAAGAATGAGCGAAATGGACTGTTTTTGAAATTGTTATTGATTATCTCTACATCCAACTCAGAAGCATATCAATACAAGATTCTATTCACTTGTCTAATCGTTCTAAATATTTGGAGCAGTTATGAGATGAAAATCATGTTTGTCTCGCATTTGAAAATATTTCTTATCGCATTATATGTTTCTAAATTTGTACATGTCTTATTATTCAACATGATTATTAGTGAAATTTGACTCGAAAATCACATTTTCTATTCATTAATTATTAATTTTATTTAGTTTAAAAGCTCATATGTTAACACATCAAGCTGAAAAACCATCATTTCCTTGTTCATATTGTCCATCAGTTATGGCTCGAAAATCTGATCTTCGCTATCATGTTAGTAAACAACATTCCCGACAATCAGAACCATTATCATGTAATAAATGTGATGAAGATTTTCCTGATAAGTATGCTTTTTTCTTTTTAATTTATTTTTTGTTCAATCTAAACAAGAAAAATATTTTCAAATTTAAGATATACATTACGTATGCATGGAAAAACT